AAAAGTCCGGAGAATACTAAACGGAAAGAATAAACGAAAAAAGGTTCATGTCCTGTTGTAAACTCATAAACCCTTATTTTTTTAGTGTTATGGTACAGCTGACGTTAGAAATTCTTCATTTGCAGACTGGCTGGAAGGCACAGATAGGTGTAGTTATGGGTGTGCATCAATAGATGAACACATCCATCCTTTCGATACTTGACTATATGGAATCATCAAGGGTAATACGACCATCATCTGTAGTTTTCTGTTTAAGGAGTGATGCAGATCATTCGTATTACACCACTTATTCTCACAACGATGGCGTCAACATCTTGCTTTTAATAATTTCAGAACGACGGTAATTAGAAATGTTTAATTTTCATCATTAGAAAAACCTAAGTGGGAGACGGAAACCTATGTATCAGTTGACCAATCAGTTTATAAAAGTTATAGTAAAATATCCCTTTTTCTAGAGTTGTAGTGTTGATATTGGCTTACTTAAAAGAAAAAAAAATCCCTATGATAAAAAGTATGTTGCAGTTTTTTAGGCAAATTTATGTTAAAATGACAAGCATGTATCTTGTTTACTAAATTGGCTTTTACATAGGTAGATGTCTACTACTTCACTTTTGACAATGGTGAAAACTACAGGTCTATAGCTAATTACATCGTAGATTTATACGAAAAACAACAGTGCACATTATAGAGATATATCATTTTTCTGTCTGCTTAATACTCTTTAATAATTACTTGTATATTTTCATTAATTTAAATAATCAAATTATTAAATGAAAGAGATATATAAAGATCATTAGCTTTTAAAATATATGATTCTTAGTTATTAACATCTCAATATTTCGGTTTCGTTCAATTCATGATTTGAAACTAGTGATAACTAAAAAGTACAGTTGCATTTTCAAACAATAAAATAGAGACATAGAATGTGAGTGTAGGAAAAGAGAAGACCAACAATCAGATGAACAGCTTCCGTACTCCACATTTTTTTTCTGCATGGACTTCATCGATCGGTTCTTTACAAGTTACTGCGATTTACACGAATTTTTTCTGAAAGTAAAATATATGAAAATAGCAACTTCGGTATCTATGCTAACGTTGCTGAAGTATCATCAAAAAGTTTCAAGTGTATTTAAAAGAAGAAACAAATTTCAATGGCAGTACTATCATGTTTCAAGCTTCTCGTTATATCACAATCTTAACTGAAGTAGATGTAGTCCATTAACGGTACAAAAAGGAAATCCTTGTCTAACAATTCGAAAAATTTCTCTTAATGTAAAAATGAAGTCGAACTTTAATGTATGTGATTTCTGACTATTTTGCATGATTACATGAAGTAACAAGACGATGTAACAAAGAAAAATAGCAGCAACAAATGAAAATATCTTCTTTATTTAATCCGATGCTGTGTTTCATCTAAAAATGATAAATAAAATGCTGCAACAAAAAACATTGATAAACGAGACGACCATTTTGAATTGCATTAGATTGGCCAAAGTTTAGAGTATGCTTTTAAGTTTTTTTATTTCTCTTCAATCATGCACTCCGAAATGAACACTGAGTAATTAAGAATAATTAAATTGAGTGTAGAAACTATTGCATAAGAAACGGGCTACTTTACCTTCTTTTAAAAAAATTAGATCTTTGATTGACTCATGTCTTACTGTGTAGTGATCCTGAACACGTACGAGTGCGTTAAAATTTAAATACCATCTATTGTCGACCAGTTTCAAATCTGTTTGCCAATACTTTCAATAACCTTCGGCAATAAAACAATCGTGCAAATTACATTTGTACATTTTTTTTTCTCTTTTAATTGAATAAATGAGAAGGGAAAAAGTCAATTCTTTCGTCAGTTGTCTTGCATCGAGCAAGTGAGAGAAAGGTAATCTAATAGCTTTTTACAACTTTCTCATAATTCTCCAAAGGCATTCTTTTACCTTAAAAAAAAATCTCCTTCAAATATGAGATCCAATAGAAGCTTTCTTTTCGCACTGATCTACTGTGATTCCTATTGAGTCTATGGTATTTATGATTGACACAATAGTTTGAAAGTTTTATTTAACGGAATTTCTGAGTGAAACAATTTCAGTCAGAAATCTAACGAGAACGATGGCGTTTTTAAACGTAAAAAGTGCACATGTGGACACGTTAAAATGCGAGGATTTGTACTCACGATAAAAGCAATTTTGTTCGTTCTTTTTCTCTCTAAATTGAAAAATTTATTGATTATAGGTGAAATAAATATGTTGTCACTTCTAATGTGCCTTTTGCTAAATGAAAATAGGCACATGCGATTATTTATTATACAACTCTTGTAGAGCATTGAATGAGAAGTCGTTACAAAAGACAACAGTTAGAAGTTTTAAATGTACTTTTTAGAACCTTATACGCTTTGACACTAAACAAATAGCTACAATCTTCGACCACAGGGCTTTTGCCTAGGTGTGGAGACGGTTGCGGTTGTAGATGTGGTTGTAGGTGTGTGGCTGTGTCTTTCCATGTGGTTGTGTGAGGTTCATCTAAGCACTCTCACTTACACTCTCAATTGACGGTACAATGCTTTGACAATCATGGTCTACGGAAAAGGAAATCTTGATTATGCCGGCTGTATTCTCCTAATGCTCTGTGGTCACAGAATGGCTTCTATTCACGATTTGAGAAAAAAAGCTGCCAGCTCTTACCGTAATGAAGAGCTGCAGAAAAGTGTTTGCTCCACATCTTCAATGATTGACGTAGTCGAGCAAGGGGATCGTTTTCAAGGTAAAGCAAACAAATAACTGCCACTTGAAGAATACCTTTGCAAATGCAAAATTACTGCAGGAATAGCGCAAAAAAATATATGCAGTGATGAAAAAAAACCCACCTCATCATGTGTTTGTCGCAAAAAATACCAACCATTTGAAGTTTGTTAACAGTACGACAATCTAGGTAGGTTGCATTTGAAAGTTGCTCTAGTAAGAAAAAGCCTTTGAAGTATTCATGGGTTATTCACCTTGACAAAATATAATTCATTCTTTATACGAATCCACCGCCTCTTCATTATGCGAGCTGTAGTACAATAACAAAATCTGATTGGTGCTTCTGCATAGAAACAGTAATCAGACTGCGAAATTTAGTATTAACAGGCATAGTAGAGATCGAAAAACAGCGAGCAGAAAACAAAGATTGTAATTGTGTAGAAATAAACATTAAATCACATTTGTTTTTTCATTTAAAAACAGCAACATTCATTGTGCAACTTCAACATATCAGTGTAAGTATAGAAATGTGCAAAAGTGTAGAACTTTTCATCCTTTCGATCACTTATTGATTTTCTCAATATCTTTGATCAGTCTATGTGGATTTATTTCCTATGTAAAACCAAGGCACTCCACAACAGAGCACTTTGCATCGAATAACATGAATTGCACCATAGCGAGCTTCGTCGACTGGAAGAAGTTTTATCATAGGCTTTTGCTGAACATTTGGCAGTAAATAATCTAAAGTTGCTAAATGTAGGCGAATAAGAACTTGTCAGCCTTTCAAGTGATGTTTCTGTCAGTAGGATGATTTTTTTGTGATTTTGTATGAGCACTGTGTAATCGAAGGTTCTTTGTCATGGAGGCTGCTGTTCAAATGAGTTTCTGTACACGAGCTATGTCCCATGTAATATTCAAAGGAGTAGTGATTTAGAATCGTCGAAACATCTACACTCGAATCTGTTATTTGCCACACTTGTATGGTTTGATGAAAAAAAGGATACTGAAGTATTGTTGAAATTTCACAGAAAACATATGACAGAGAGTCTTGTGTTGAAAATATGATTAATTCATGAATTTACAGCTTTATCTAGACTATCAGTTATTGCTCAAAATTGTGTTATTGCTAAATTTTTGCTAATTGTTGATAGTTCTGTTTTGTTAAGGAGGAAAACTCAGAAAAAGATACTACTTAAATTGATTACCCAAAGTTAGTCTTGTGAGATCCTAGGTACCCAACGGAACCTACTTCGTGTACAAGGTCTAAGCATGTGAGGAAAATAAAAAAGCTATGTATATGCTAGAAGAATTGTTGATTTCCTGTTATTCTATTGAATGAAAGCTCATTTATCAGTCTCATGTGTGAAAAAACATGATGTGCACAAGAAGCAAATGAGTGTTATTTATTTGGTCGTGCTGAAAAGATACTAGTTATGATGTTGAAGACTCCATTCGTAGTGTGAGCTGCTTGAAAACTGACTCCATTGTAATGTCGTTATCAATTCTGTTTTTCTTCGTTGACAGTAGTAGTAAGATAGACGTATTAGCGTAGATGTTAATTTTGTTCTGAAACACACATACACCCATACTCTCATTGCAGCTAAGTCTTTAAAAATCTATGAGAAACTTTTCTTCGTTGATTGATACCTGAATACGTTCTCTTTCCACTTTATGTGGGTTTTCAATAAAGAGAGCAGGAATTACATATAGCCAGTAACAGCAAAACAGAACAGTTGTCTGTTGGACTTGTCTTTTTCCTTTTGTGAATATACTCTTATAGCAACGTGTTGGTGAAAATTTCGTTCTAATGTTCTTTCTAGGTTTTGTTAGCATCACCATAGCTATTGTTCTTAATTCTCTTGAAAAATTACGTTGTAGAGGACGGAGCAGGTGACGCATATAGATATACATATATATGGTAGCGAATGACAGCGAGTTATATAAATTCTGCTTTCCGATTTTTATGTTCCTGTCTAAATCGCATTCTTATGATGAATCATTGACATTTTTTTAATGTTTTCTCTTTATTAACAGATTTTGAAAATAAAAATGTCATTGAATTCACTCGTCATTAGTGACCAAGCTACCACGAAAACTTCTAATTCGGTTATGACATACCGTCCTCTTCAAGAGCATTCTAATTATGTTGTTCATTATATTTCGCCGACGTTCGTTAAAATTGAACAACTGAAAACTGATCTCAACGCTGAGTATCAGCAGGAAAAACATGCACTAACTGAATTGAACGAACAATTGCGTTTAATGATTGATCGTGTTGAGCAATTGGAATCTCTAAATGCAAAATACGTGGCAAAACTGGCTGATTTGCGAGGACTATCATTCACTGTTGGTACCATTGGTAAACAAAATGATGAACATTATCGTCTACAGAGTGATATTATGGCAGTGAACTTCGATAAAGTTGGCTATGAATCTGAAATCGAACTCTTTCAACTGCAAATCAAAATCTATCAACAAATGATCCAAGCTGAAAATCAATCGATCGATGAACAACGACTGAAATTAGAACGAGAATTGAATCAATCTGCATCTGCTCTTGTCAATCTACGTACATCCTATGCAGAATTGGGACAGCAAGTTGGAACATATCGCGCAACGTGTCAAGATATGTTACAGCAGTATCTGAGATTAGCCAAAGATTGGTCCATTTCGAAGAAGCAAATAAATGAATTGAAGATCAGAGTGCAAATGACGAAGAATCAAATTAAATTTTCGAAGATTTTACGTTCGTATGTACTAAGGTAAGTATTGATAGCTTGTTTTCTTCATTTCATGGAGAAACTTTTCATTTTGTTTCTAGCAAGAACGATGTATTTTCAATGGATATGTCTGATTTTTCTGAATTCTGGAAGCATGAATGGGAACAAATTATTAAGAAAATACGTCATGATTTTGAACTATTATATGGAGCAATGCATCAAGAAACAATTAATTTTTATGAAATGAAAACCAAAGAATTGCAAATCGAATTAGAACAAATAACACAATATCAACCAGTTGAAAACGAAAAACATGTTAAGTTTCAACAAAAACTCCAGAGCGAATATGAAGAAGTGCAGAAGAAATTTGCCTCTGAAAAACAAGTTCTAATGGAATTGGAAGCAACATATTGTAAGTATAATGTGATATGTTGTTTTCTATCGATTCTTTCTTCAAAAAAACGTCTTTTTTGTCATTGCTTAAAGCTAAATTAGAATCCGAATTGCAAACTATTCAAATGCAACACGAAGAACGATTCGAAGCACAGTCAAATGATTTACATTATTTACAGGAAAGTATTATGGCAATGGTGAGTAGTGTCGAAGAAATGCAACGAAGGTTAGAGAGTTTTACTGTTGGTTGAAACACACAGCTCAATTTTCTTTTTGCATAATATTTCTAGAAAAATCCACTTAGAAAGTGAAATTATTATTTATCGTCATCTATTGAGCAAAAGACAAATAGTCGAACAGATTGAGATACCCTCTTCTTCGATAGTTTCTGTTATATCAAAAAGAAAATTCGTTGTAGAAAGTCGATGTCACGGATCGATTAATATCGGTAAGTGTCAAGTGGAAAAAGAGATGATGAACTAGTCTGATTGATACTTCTTTTCTTTTTTTTTCTTTTTGTCAAAGACTGTCCTCTCGATAGCACACACATTTGTTTGATGAATCAGTCGGCTAGTGAAACTATTGATATTTCAAGATGGCGTCTGTTAAGACGTGTTGATTCGAAGGTCGTACTTCAATATACACTACCCAATGGACTTCGACTTCAACCAGGCAGTGAATTAAATGTCTATTCAGAGTCAGGTGCTGCAGTTGCTCAAAAATCGCGGGCTCAAAGTGCTTTTCCATCATCTCTACATCAGGAACTTGTCCTTAAAGATATATCTTCAATGGGTAGGTGATTGTATCAAACTATTCTATTTATTATTTTTTTTATCGCTGCGTAGGTGTCGGCGACAAGATCGAAACACTGCTATTTGATGAAAACGGCGAAGAGAAAGCATCATGCATACAGACAGCGACAACTGATTGGACAGCATGTGATTGATACCAGCTATATCAATTAATTGTGATCGAGAACTAGACTGACCACTTGAATTGAATTGGACGTCTAAGCTTTTAGAATCTTTTAGTAGAAACTTTTAGATTTTTTAACTTATTTTGAACTAACAAATATATCATCGAAATTTCAAGTACACTTCTTTTATAGTTCAACAGATTTGTCAGAGATCACAAGCCTTTTCTTACTATGTCCCTCGAAGAATGTTTCACGAATTGTTGTATTATTCTCGCTTGACAACAAAGATAAAATCGAATACTAGCTCTTTATCACTCTTCTAATAGAGTTTTGAAATATTATGGTGGAGAAATATTGACAGATAAGTCTCAATTTATGTAATCAACCAGTTCCAGTGGTATGCCTTTGATTAAATTGGATTTCAAAAAGATGCTACTTACCATTCTGCTGTCTGAATTTTCGTTTCATAAAACATCAATTGAATGCAAATAAGTTTCTGTTACCCATATTTTACATTATTCTTTTATTATCAGCTCTAAATTATAGCATCAAGATACATTATCAATAATAATGCTGAATATATTATAGAATCAGTCTTCTAAAGAGCCGTTTTGGATTTTAGCGACCATACGATCTATCACGTTATTTCATAGAAAAGACACGGAAAACTTGATGTAGCCAAGAGATTACTTCACAATAATTTAAGTTTGCCCTAAAACATTAGCCAAAAGATCGATGGAGGGTGTGAGCGTCAGACTTCTCTTCACTCACCCCCGCAGTTTCTATTTATATCAGTGTTTGTATGTATAATAAAAATAATCCTTAAATTAAAAGACAGCGAATTCTGGATTGTGCCATCAAAAAAGCGTAAACTGAGATCAATTTTCATTTTTTTGACAAAATTGACTTTTTTCGAGAAAGGGATTGACTCAATATAAAGAAAATTGTTACCAGTCATACAATTTCATTCAGACTCTAATTGAATTCAACGATTTGTTTGATATTCGATAAGTAATCAATCAAAAAAACATTTTTACATCACAAAATTCAGCTAATTCTGATTATTCAAATATCATTATTATCTGCTGAATTCGAACCTTCAGAAATATAACCTAAGCATTAGAAACAATGTTCGTCAGCAAAAAAAAATTTGTTCATGAAGCGGATGTGTGTGGAAAGATTGATCTTCTATTCAGTCATGCACACAACCACTCTTGTTCAAAATGATCATTCTCAATGGAAATACATAATTCCATTCTTTTCAAAACGTGCTAGTTTTTGTGATTGACTCTCATTCCTAATTCAAGCAGAGCTTAAATAGATACCTTGTAAATATTGTCTTTCATATGTCCTCATAGAAAAAAATCGATAATGGGTGAAGAGAAGATCCATACCCACACATACCCATCAAATGCATTTGAATTGAACATACAATCGATCCTCTGTTCAGTAGCAATAAGATCAAGTCATGGTATTTTAATGGCAAAATATGAAATGTTTTCACAGTTTTTTTCAAGCAATTAAATTATTGAAATACAATAAAAAACTCTCAGTATACAGGAAATGTTTTCCTAGCTCTAAGATTTGCCTTAACGCTGAGTAAGACACAGATCATTCTGATTACCTTATCTACAGGATTCTAAGATTGTGTGCGAATAGGATGACATTTGTTCGATTTCGAACAGCTCTGACAATGAAGAAGATGATATTCATAATTAGCACTATTGTTCTTGACCAATTGACTTATATTTAAGTAGTTTTGCTTATAAAACATTCGTATAATGCATAAAAAACAACTATTCCATACACAATCGGAAGAAATCAACTATTTTTTTTCCTTTCATTGATGAATCACTATCAGCACAACGAAAAATATCCTGCTATTCTTTCACCATCTTACTCATTTTGTCGTTTTGAGGCGTGGATGGAGTTCCAAAGACACCCACACCCACACCCACATTCTTATATCTGACACACTGAAACATGTTCATTCTCCGACGGCAACGGCGTCTGAAATACCATTATTGAATACGTCACTTCCTTCAATATTCTCTTCGTCACAAATACCTTAACTAGTTCCGCAATAACAGAGTGTATCAGCATTTAGTTTTGGTTATGCGGCATTATCAACTGCTGTACACAATATTACACCTCAGCTCAGTTTTACAGGAGCTAGGAACACCTGTATTAGGGTGTGGGCCTCTTTTTGCACTTCATCCACACCCACACCAACACCCTTCTTCGTCATGGGCGGCAGAGTGGCTACCGGGATTTAATTTTTTGGGATTTATTAATTATGATTATACTTCAGAACATTAACATTAACATTCACACCCTCATTTTTGCCCTCATTTTTGGCCTCATCCACATCCACACCCACACCCACACCCATACCCACACCCCACCCACACCCACACACCCACACTCACACCCACAACCATCCACACCCTTTTGGTTGTTCGCGAGGGAACATTTTTCATCGAAATATGTCTCTGTCCTTTGTATGTTCCGTCCGAACTATTTGCATTAGGTGTCTTGGGAGTTCTTTGAAAGCTACGATTAGTATCGATGATCGGATCTCTGCCATTTGGTTTTCCGATGATTTCCGGACCGAAGAGAAGAGGAATTATCAGGATCCGATAGGATTTTTTTTGGGTGGTGACATCTGGTGTGAATTCGGTGTTATCCGATTGTCGGATTTGACAGGATTACTTCCGGAATCATCCAGTTCGGTTTCCTGTTGGAGAAATCTGATGAAATTCGATTGTATCCGCTCTACAATCTGACAATATCTATGCTTTTCCGAAAGGCAGTTCTGAGCGGATGCGATTTGATTCGATTGTCGGCTTCGCAAGGATCCGACTGTAACTTTTCCGACGTAATCCGAACCGGAATCCTGAGCATGAGAATCCGACACAAAATGGATCGAACCCCATCGGTTTTTTACGGAAGACGTCGGATTCCGGAGCAATTCAGTTCAGGATCCGACGCTTTCCGGTAATATCCATATGTCAGATTAGATCTCTTGGGATATCTTCCATCATTTCGTGTTAAACAGTTTAACATAAGAACATATCGATCATTTAATTTTTGTGGTCGACCACTACGTCGCCGATCATGAAAGTTACCTGTTTCTTCAAGGCTCTTTAAAGCACGTTGAACGGATGACTTTGGAATATTGACAATGGTGCTAATTTCGAGACAAGTCATACCGACTTTACTCAATGTTACACATTGAGCTCGTTGATACTCACGACGAAGTTTTTGCGACATTTTTTTATGTTCAATAAAGATTTATTTAATATTATTGAGATCGGAAGTAACTGAGTATCAATCACAACTGATACTTCAATTAAAACGAACGTTTCAGACTACTCCAATAACATGAAATAAAAATTTTTCCTAATTTAACAAGTATTTCTAATAAAGTCTACACTGTCCCAGAACTTTTTGTTGCTGGACAATTTTTGTTCTTTTTATTTTTTTATATTAAAACCAGAAGTTTTGCGCCTGTATGATATAGTATGAAAGCTTAACTAATAAGTACACTTACTATACATATAAACTTTAATTTGAATGAGATATAAAAATTTGGGGAGTCATTCTTGAGTGTCCCAGAATTTTTTGCGAGGGGTGAACTATCATTCAACAATCTAAGTTGACACTAGATCCATGTTCAGAATGAAAACCGAGTGAGATAAGATATATTAAAACAATTCTCAGCCTGGACGGATAGATTTACGGAGCATGTTCATGAATGAACAGTATTAGCAGGTGGTCAAACTTCTAGGGCAATAGGATGTCTGTTTTGAACATCTAAATACGTAGTTTTTTGAAAGCTTTCAAAGATTATAAGACTCACCTGAGTTCGCTATTTCGGCTTAAGAATACTTCAAGACAAAGTCATACACACAGTTTAATGCAGAACTTAATGAGCTCCAATTTTGTCATGTTAATTTTTGACAGTATCGAAGGCATAATTCCAGAGATGCTAAAGGATTGCATCCAGAAAATCAACTTTGGACAATTCGAGACAAATTTTTAGACTATATTAGTTTGGATTTGAGTATCGTATTGAGAGAACCACATTGTGAAATGAGTGATGTAAAATATCTGAATTGGAATATATGTTACATTCTTCGACTTTCTCATTAAGCATCTCTTATTACGCGTCATTATCAAGTTTTTTTTGATGGCAGATGTTTCTGTTAAAACGAGAGCCTTTCTGTCTAAAGATTTAGTCATGCCATTGATTTTACGACTAATGTTAATGATACTGATACAGAAGACGATAATGTAGTATAATATTTGTGTCAAGTCCGCACATCAGCACAGGTTTGGTAGAAAATTACTGATGCAGTATTATAATATTTCGAGAATGGTTGTAGAATTAGTAAAAATCTTGCATGCCTTGGTCGGTGTCGCCACTAAAAAGTTTGTAGATACATCGGAAATGGTTTGTTTTAGTTTTGTAGGCATACTATTTGAAAAAATTGAACATGAAATTTTTTCCAGCTCGGTTGTCGACGTAGAAAAACTATTCTTCTGGAGGCAACTCACTGAAAACGACAGTAGAACTGCTTTAATCTAAATTAAAATGGCCTCACCTGAGAAAGGAACGGAA